GGTCCCTTGTGCCACCAAGAAGGAAACAATACGGGACTATTGAGAGCATTTGCGAAAGCGAAAAGGAGTGTTGATTTTGGACGAGGTCAGTTTGACTCAACCATCCTCCCGGAATGCATGACTGAGGCGATCTCGTGGCTTGCCTGTGTGAAAGGGAAGGGGAACTCATAAGGGAAATTGAAAGGCAAAGGCAACTTAGGATTGCGGGAAGGGGCGATGTGTTGACCCCGATGGGGATTGTACTTGGTCATTTCTCTTGTGTGGTCTTGCGCAGGTGAGTAGCTAGGGACTATTTGGACGGGGCTGGACCCGCGAATGAGGACTAGGGTGGGAGATTGGCTAAGGAAAGGTCTTGGACCCGGCTTAAGCCATGGAGGCGGGAAGGTTGGAGGTGGTTGGCTATGGTGGACAAGTGTGGGTGACGGAGGAAGAAGAAGTGTTGGAGGTGGTTGGCTATGGTGGACGGGTGTGGGTGATGGAGGAAGAAGCAGGGTTGGGGGTGGTCAGCTATGGTGGACGGGTGTGGGTGATGGAGGAAGAAGAAGGGTTGGGAGTGGTCGGCTATGGCAGATGGGTCTGAGTGATGGAGGAAGAGGAAGGGTTGGAGGTGGTTMGCTATGGTGGACGAGTGTGGGTGACGGAGGAGGAAAGACGGTTGGAGTGATCCGGCTATGGAGGATGGACGTGGGAGACGGAGGAGGAAGGAGGGTTGGAAGTGAGCGGCTATGGTGGATGGGTGTGGGTGACGGAAGAAGAAGAAGGGTCGGGGGTGGTCGGCTGTGGTGGACGGGCGTTGGTGATGGAGGAAGAAGAAGTGTTGGAGGTGGTCGGCTATGGTGGAAGGGTGTGGGTGATGGAGGAAGAAGAAGGTTGGAGGTGGTTGGCTATGGTGGACGGGTCTGGGTGATGGAGGAGGAAGGAGGGTTGGAGTGATTCGGCTATGGAGGATGGACGTGGGAGACGGAGGAGGAAGGAGGGTTGGAAGTGGTCGGCTATGGTGGACGGGTGTGGGTGACGGAAGAAGAAGAAGGGTCGGGGGTGGTCGGCTATGGTGGACGGGCGTGGGTGATCGAGGAAGACGAAGTGTTGGAGGTGGTCGGCTATGGTGGAAGGGTGTGGGTGATGGAGGAAGAAGAAGGTTGGAGGTGGTTGGCTATGGTGGACGGGTGTAGGTAACAAAGGAGGAAGGAGGGTTGGAGTGATCCGGCTATGGAGGATGGACGTGGGAGACGGAGGAGGAAGGAGGGTTGGAGGTGGTCGGCTATGGTGGACGGGTGTGGCTGACGGAGGAGGAAGAACGGTTGGGGAGGTCTAGCTATGGTGGATGGGTGTGAGTGATGGAGGAAGAGGAAGGGTTGGAGGTGGTTGGCTATGGTGGACGGGTGTGGGTGACGGAGGAGGAAGGAGGGTTGGAGTGATCCGRCTATGGAGGATGGACGTGGGAGACGGAGGAGGAAGGAGGGTTGGAGGTGGTCGGTCATGGTGGACGGGTGTGGGTGACGGAGAAGGAAGAAGGGTTAGGGAGGTCCGGCTATGGTGGATGGACGGATGTGGGTGGTGGAGGAAGAAGAAGGGTTTGGGTGGTCCGGCTATGGCGGATGGACGTGGGTGATGAAGTAGGAAGGAGGATCGGAGATGGTTGGCTATGGTGGACGGGTGTGAGTGAAGGAGGAAGAAGAAGGGTTGGGGTGATCCGGCTATGGCGGATGGACGTGGGTGATGGAGGACGAAGGAGGGTCGGAGGTGGTTGGCTATGGTGGATGGGTGTGAGTGAAGGAGGAGGAAGAAGGGTTGGGGGTGCTCCGGCTATAGAGGATGGACGTGAAAGAACGTGCGTTAGATGTATCCTAGCTCCTAGCCCCGTGCCCCTGTTTTCTACTGCGGGTGCCTGGCTGCCCCATATCACTTTCGGACGTCACCGGTCACAACAAAAATGGGGAAGGGATTGAACTGCAGCCCACACACACACACACACACACACATACACCGAATGTCACCGTGCACAGCCAGGGGTAAGGGCGGACTACACAAGTTACCGGGAACTGCAACACTCACATATACACACACCGAATGTCACTAGGTACAGCAGGGGGTAAAGGTGGACCGCACAACTTGTCGGGGGCTGCAGCACTCACACATACACACACCGAATGTTACTGGTTACAGCAAGGGGTAAAGGTGGACTGCACAAGTAACCGGGGACTGCAGCACCCACACATACACACACCGAATGTTACTGGGTACAATAGGCGGTAAAGGTGGACTGCACAAGCTACCGGGGACTGCAGCACTCACACATACACATACAATATGTTACCGGGTACAGCAAGGGGTAAAGGTGGACTGCACAAGTTACCGGGGACTGCAGCATTCACACATACACACACCGAATGTTACTGGGTACAGCAGGGGGTAAAGATGGACTGCACAAGTTACCGGGGACTGCAACACTCACACATACACACANGGGGTAAAGATGGACTGCACAAGTTACCGGGGACTGCAACACTCACACATACACACACGGAATGCTACTGGCTACAGCAAGGGGTAAAGATAGACTGCATAAGTTACCGGGGACTGCAACACTCACACATACACACACCGAATGTTACTGGGTACAGCAGGGGGTAAAGATGGACTGCACAAGTTTTGAGAGCACCTAATCCAACGGAAAGTTCACCGAAGCATCCCAAGGTAATTCGCAACTGAGACATGCATCCAAATCAGTGAAGGCACAAGTTTGAGCGCATCTAACCCAGCGGAAAGTTCACCGAAGCATCCCAAGGTAATTCACAACTTAGACCTGCATCAAAATCAGTGAAGGCACAAGTTTGAGAGCATCTAACCCAGCGGAAAGTTCACCAAACTATCAAAAAGTAAATCGCAACTTACCCAGGCACCCAAATCAGTGAAAATTCAAGATTTGAAGCATCAACACAAGAGGAAAGTTGACCGAATTATCACAAGAGGCATCGCAACTTACCCAAGCACCCAAATCAGTGAAAACTCAGGATTTGAAATATCAACACAATGGGAAAGTTCACCGAACTATCACAAGATGAATCACAACTTACCCAAGCACCCAAATCAGTGAAGACTCAAG